GGGGTCTGGAGAACAACACGCCTGACTTTGTCTGTTGCTTTCGCCTCCGTCTGAACTGGGCATGTGCGGCCAGGCAGGAGGCGTGGCTATCTCAGACTTAGTCTTATTGGGTACAAGGGACTTCAGGAAACCCAATCAAGTGGATTATCCATCATCATGCTGAGAAATGGCGTTCAGGTAAGACCAACGCCCCTTCTCTTCTATTTTGGTTTAAGCACTTAGATACCTAAATATGATTTCATAGAAGGTGCGCCCATTGTTGAGGATTGTTTCTGTTGTAGTTTTGGTGTTTTTTTTCCCTAGACAGCCAAGTTGAAAGTATCTCTAGGTAAACATGTCCTTATTTACCCTGGACATATTTCTCCCATTGATTTCAGTGTGCTTGATTTCTATGCATTTATAATTGAGGTTAGATTATTTGAAGTTTTGATGTGATATTTCATGTTTCCTATTTTGAATTATTTCCCTAAGCAGAGTATGTTTCTGCATATGACTTGAGTGATTCCAATGAAAATACTGCAATGGCGTGTCTTTCTCAGAGTATGGAGAAATATCCTACAATACCAAATCCCCTTCCTGTTATACAAAAGACACAAAGTTGTGCTAAACAATTTCCAAACAGGTATGTTACTTTACTTTGGGTTTTAACATGAGGAATATGCAAATGTTATTTCTCAGATTGCACTGCAAAGAATAATTTACAGAATCATAAGTGCCATTTCATTTCCAAATTATCCCTATTTGGATAGTTTATTTGATACCATCAAAATATTTTACAAAGAATGGATATGAACAGCTCTCATGAAGCATGGATCACTAATGATCCCATTATCACACTATTTGTATTTCTGATGTTAATTGTGACAGTCTTTAGAAATTAGAGCAGTATAAGGGTTAGCACCCAGAGTCACTATAATTGTTGTCAAAATGCTATTCCTGAGTAAAATACTTTCTTATATACTCAGATTGTTACCCATATTCCAGGAGTTGGTCCTAATGCTTGATTTTTTTTAAAGAAAAAAGTAAAAATAAAAATAATGTGTAGGCCATAAAGGGCCTCAGTTTAAGGCTTTTACTCTTACCAAGTTTCCAGTAAATTATACCCAAAGCAGTTCATGATAAGCTATTAAAATTCTTTTAAAATAACATCTGAACAAACAGACTGTGATAAAACATTCAATAAGCTAAAATGATAGCAGTTCAAAAACCACCTGGCTAAGGCAACAATAAAGCTAATTTGCAATATTCATTACTGTCTAGAGTCAGTAGAAGTTTACTCTGTTGGGTAAATCAAAGGGAAAGAAGGAAATGGGACACTGATAAGTCATCATTGTCAATTTCCTAAGTGTTTCAGCTGCTATACTAATCTTTATTGTTATTTTCATCATTGTAGCTCTGATAGTAATGAAGATTCCAGATTGCCACCTTTATATTTGCTTTTTGAAGGCTACTACAAAAGCAGGTAAGGCTTCATTTCTTATTGAAAGGAATTCGTTTTACTGTAATATTATGTTCCTTATGTGAGCAAATTGTAGGCCACATATATTACTTACACACCTATTTTACAGCCCCAGAATATCACTGGTATGGGTGAGGACAATTTTTTTGTCATTTTTAGGAGACAGTTGCTTTTGGAAGAATTCAGAGATCTGAAAAGATCTGTTCTGATCCTTCACATTTTCACTCTTCTTTGTTCCTCAAATGGGTCAACTGCAAGCCTGCAAAGCTTAAGATCAAGAGCCAATTTGGTGTAGTGGTTAAGCATCAAGCTAAAAAACAGGAAACTTGTGAGTTCCAGTCCCAGCTTGGGCAAAAGGCCAGCTGGGGACCTTGGGCCAGTCATTCTCTCTCAGTCCTAAGAAGCAGGCAATGACAAACTACTTCTGAAACAGCTTGCCAAGAAAATTTCAGAGATTTTGCCAGGAATCAGAGCTGACAGAAAGGCATAGTAAAAGCAATGGAAGTAGATAGTCTGTTTCTGGTATATATTGTTCTAAAAGCCAATATAAAAGGTAGCTTATACACTTGGAATCAGATCATTTAAAAAATTAAAAACATGATCATTCTTCTTTTACATGGGCCCCAATGGAGTTGGTTTATTATTTTTTTAAAAAACTTACCTGTCATTTTAAATATATAAAAGGTATTTTATAGGTTATTGTACAGAACAAGAAATATGTAAGAACTGTTACCTAGATAAAGAAGCTGAGTAACAGAACAAAATAACAGAATTGGATGGGACCTTAGAGGTCTTCTAGTCCAACCCCTGCTCAAAGCAGGAAACCCTATGCCATTTCAGACAAATCATTGTCCAATCCCTTCTTAAAAACCTCCAATGTTGGAATACCCACAACCTCTGGAGACTGAAAAGTTCTTAAGTCCTGCAAGATAATATTCATAAGCAGCTCAAGCAAGCATCTCCCTAGGTCTTTGAGGCATAAAGAGTAGAGGTAAAGCATAATCTGACTTGCAAGATTCTCTTATTTTAACCAATCTAAATGAAGTATAGTACTGGTCTTCCTGTAGACTTCATTTTCTGGTCTGATCTAATTAAACAGTTATGAGCCTTCTACTTTAAAAGTGGCTCATATTATTTTATTTTATGATAAATTGAAATGTATTCTTTTAGTTTTCTTTCATGTATTGCAGTTAGTGATAAGCACATAATAAATAAAACTATTACTACTGCTGCAACCATCGAAGTCAGCATTTTTTAAAGTATGGTCCAAAGACTCTGGAGGGTCCACAAAATCAAATTACTGGCCAGATATTGAAGATATTTGCAAAAAATTAAAATGTTATTCTCATTTTTTGTTAAAAATAGTGTTTTTAATAAAAATCTGTTAATATCTGTTGAGTTTAATGTTGGTATTTTTACATGATTCAATAAATAGATGTTCTACAAATTCATGGTTTTTTTTAAATAAAACCATTGCAGCCAAACTTCTAGATATGAAAATATTTTGAGAAAAGGAGAATATAGAAAACAAGGGGAAGACAAGTACATAAATAGGATTTCAAAACATGTCAATAGTTTAATTGAGTTATATTACTACTTTCTCTTGGATTTCAGCATGTTCAAGATTCATTTAGTGTTGGAGAGACAAAACTGTTGCTTTGTCAAATTAAATAAAATGTATTTCAGATGTCATGGGTCTGGCCAGTGGTGTGCTGGTAATGAGCCAGCTTTCAAAAAAAAATAAAAAATCCAATGCCTCTGGGTTTCACCAACATTGCTGGCTCCACCGCTGCTACTATGCCTTGCCACTGGCCATAAAACAACTTACCTGTTTAGCAATTATTTCTATTGGTTCAAAAGTTCCAGAAAATTTAACAATTGGCAGTTGAACCCACCTTTCTAATAATTGTGGTTGGAAGATAAAAGTGCATCCTGGTGTTCATCAGTTGTGTAATTGTACATTAAAGATTATACAAGAGTGGTACTTTGAAATAGCTCATTATGACCTATCCAATAGATGGCAGCACCTAACCAACTGTGGCTGATGTAATTAAATCAGAGCTAATCAACTAATCAAGATCAAATTTGATTAGTATTTGGATGGAAAGCCACCAGGAAATTCCAGAGTTGTAGATTAGACTGGAAAATCAAAACTAAGACAGAAGAAAGCAATGGCAAACTGGACTATTTGCCAAGAAAACTATATGGACTTGCCTATATAGTTATCAGAAATCTAGGTTACCTTGTGGAAATCATTATCTCCAAGGCAAAATATTATCTATTCAAGCTTCCCAGCATAGAGTTCCTTTACCAAATATTTTAGTTGGTATTTATTGTGCAATACCAAATATTAGGGAGATGGTCACAATTGAATTCAGTATAGCTTAAAGTATCAGATATGGTAAAGAATAAATTGTATGTAATTGAATATGCTCATAATACAGTTTTCTCAAATACTTTGCTTGGTGCTTCTAGATATTATTTCATTTCAATTGTACTTAATCTTAGCCAGCATTGCCAGTTGGTTATGCACTCTGGGGGCCATAGTTCAAATATTTAGATTAGTGTTTCTCAACCTTAACAAGCGTTAAGATACTGGCTGGGGAATTCTACGAGTTGAAGTTCACACATCCTAAAGTTGCAAAGGTTAAGAAACACTGATCTAGAAGATACAGGGCCATAAGCACTTTCCACATAACAAATTGTGAAAAATAAGTGATTTTAGAAGACAGATTTAATACACTCACGCCTGTGATATATTATCATTCTTTGTAGGGGTGACATTGCCATGGAAAGCCCAAACAAAAAAGAGGTGCCTCGGATACCAGCACCTCTGAAGAATTCTGAACCACACTGTCAAGCTGGAGAGTTGGGTGTTGTGAGGTAAGGTGGTTTGAAAGGGCAAATATAGCTAACTCTCTAGTGCAGGGGTGTCAAACTGCTGGCCCACGGCCCGGTTTCATCATACCGAAGCCGCACCCACCCCATTGCTGACAATGCAAAAAGAGTTGCAATACGTCACGTCACATGACATGGCGAGTTTGACACGCATGCTGTAGTGTAATGCTGGAAGTTAGGTTTTGTTTTTTTACTAGGCTATTACCTAAGTGCTATTTTTGAATGTGGTTGAGATATAGTATAGTAGCATAGCTGCTTGGTTTCAACAATTCAGATTTCACATGTCACTTGTTATAAATTTAGGAGTTATTCTAGTGATATAAATAAAAGCTTAAGATTTAAAAAAAATCTTAAAACTCCTTTTCATACTTGACTGATTATATCTGGTAAATTTTGGGAATACACTGTACTGCATCTGAATAAAAATCACAAACATTCTTCATACAAACAAATAAGAACTGATTAAATGTTACACTCTGATCTGGGAGTAAACCCCACTGATCAGGAAGCACTGAATGACTTTGGGATAGTGAGTCTTTTTCCAAAATTTAAATCATTTTGAGCTCCTGAAATAAAAGCAAGAATGAAAATGTAATCAATAAATGTTAAAGAAAATATTCTAATGAAGTAAAAATACTATTGTCAGCAATATTAAACCTCCAAAATGGTTTGTAGTATGTCAGCATTTGACTTTCTATAATTCTGTATCTCAAACTACAATTTCAGTACTTATTAAAAATACAGTACCATTTAAAATGTGGGTGATGGCTACTGAATCATATCATGAGAAATATTTCTGTATATTACTAAATCAATGTTTTAATTTCCTTCCACACCTCTGACTTCATACAAACAGATAATTACTAGTAATTAAAATATGCTATTCAATATGTTCTTGCACATTTATAGGTTGAAAAAACACAATCAGTGTTCCAGACTGGCTTCATTTCCAGGAAGGCCCAAGTACAGAACTGGTAAAAGAGGCATTTCCTACTCCTGCCTTTATTTTAAAAAATAAAACAAATTAGTATTCACCGTATTTCATTGTATCACAGGTTCTTTTATATATACCCAAGTCAGTGGGCTCCAAAATCCAAGAGGGCCAACAGAACCACATAGGTCCCTTGGCAACATACAAGCACTCAAAGGCTAGTACTCATTGCTCCCTATTCCCACTATTTCCTACTTATACACTTCTACAAGGCTTGAAAGGGACAACAGCAGCACAGGTGTTAGCCATTCTGCAGGCAACCTGTCCTCTCACACATTGTGAAGTCTTCTTCCTGTTTCTACATTCACTATTGAATATTACTTTCTCTAAAATATGGGCAAGGAATGGAATCCAGAATCGTTTCCCCCATACTGTAAAGTGTAGATCCTATGGGAGAGAAAACATTCTGATGATCAAAGTAGGCTCATAGACATAGCTGTGCAGGGGTTAAGCACTGGTAAACCATTTCTCTATTGTGGCCAAAAGGACTGGAACATATCACTGGAATCTTCAGTTGATTTATGACCCAAAGACTGTATTTTTCACATGTTTTTAGACACTTATCATTAAATAAAATCAGTAGGCAATCAAATAAAATCTTTTTTTCTTCTTAGATTACCAATTTGCTGATCCTGTCAATGGAGCCCCATCTCAGTTCCTTCAGAGGCTTGCTGATTTAGCTGCTCTTGAATGCACAACAATTCATGAAGAGAAAACCAGAAAAATAAGGAAGACCAAGAAACAAGAGGCATAGATCTCTATCATGCAAGGAGCAGGCTCCTTTGCAATTAGATGTTTTTGTTTGATTTCCTTTAACATATAGTGTTGTCAGTGAATCACAGTTAAAGAAAAAATTGATGCTTAATAAATGTATTGTCAATTATATAGTCATTGTTCAAATCAATTTGAGTTGTTTAAAAACTGTTGTTCCTCAAAATGGGAGTACAACTTCTCATCTTTCAACCTTCTCTAACCTGCTACAAAGCGTTTAAGATTTCAGACTCCCAGCAAGCATAACCATGACCTAGCCATACTACTATGCAAAGCTAGTCATTGTGATTAGTAAGTTGTTTTTCATCTAAGTATGCAAATAAGTTTATTTTGATTCTTGGAGACTGCCTACTGTTTTATTTCAGAAGTATTTTGCCACTACCTCCTCTTCCTAGGGTCGAGTGATTGGCCAAGGTCAACCAGCCAGCTTTGTGTTTAAGGTGGGACTCAATGTTCTGGCTTCTAACTTTATGCCTCAATCACTAAAGCAAACTGATTTTATTAAATTATAACACTTTGAATAGCAAGATGGGCAGCACAGAAATGTAATAAATAAATAAAACTATCTATATAGTCCTTGCTTGCAATAATGCAAAGATCATAAACCTAATAATAAACCCCAGAATATGCAGAATACAAGAGAGGAATAGGAAATATTTATTGTCTATTTCCTGCAATTATTAGCTGCTTCAGATCTTTCAATCCTGAACATATTTCTAAAGTTTTAGGCATTTCCTCCTTTCCCCACTATTTAATTGCTAATGGCTGCATTCATGCACCACACCTGGGTGAAGCTTGCTAAGGCAGCATCGGGATAGATACCATAATCTGCAATGTGGTTTAATTCTATTTTACCATGTTGTCTGAAATCAGCTATTTGTTTATTCAACAAGCCATTGTTAATATATGAAAAGACCCACTGTGATTATTTCATTAAGAATGCTAGAGTTTAAACTGACTTGTTAGCAACTTAAAAGTACATTTGCACATTTATGAAAGCATAGCACCCAGGAATGGGCAATTGATTTTCCCAAGGGGCCCCATGAGAAATTGTTGTGGACTACCAAACCAACAGGCTGAATTTAATTGCGCACAACTGTAGCATTACAATTATTTACTTATTTACATTTAATTTCTAATGCCTAATTTGCCTCATGGGAGCCAGACAGGGACAGCCAAGGGACTGGATGTGGTATGCAGTCAATTTCATTTTAGTGTTCTGTATTTAAACATTTAATACAAAAGAAGAGACCACTCCTTTCCTTGCTCCACTATGGAACTTTTTCCTTATCTCATGTCCAAGTATTGGGAAAAAATCCCGGTATTATTCTTAATACTTAATAGCCCAATGATTGACAAGCAGCTTAATCAGAATTTAATTATTATACTATATCATGTTTTACTTTACTTTTACACAGGGCCCCATTCTCTTTGTAGGCAATGCCATCTGGACGCCCAAAAGAAAAATAGCTAGATGCCAAACCCTGATTTAATTAGAAAAGAACTTCCTGACTAAAAAGGTATACAGTGAGAAATTATTTATGGTATTACTATAGAGGCTATTCAGCAATTAAGTTAACCAAATAATATAAAGCATGCATGCTTTCCAGTAACTGAATTATAGTTCCATTAGCTTATCCCACTGGTTTATTGAAAGAAACAGGACTAAGTATATGTGTTTGAAATGCACAGGCAATGTATGAGATCAATGAGCAAGTTATTTAACATAACGGCACACTACTTAGCTAAAACTCTTACTTTGGCAAAACAGGTGTCAAATGTTAGATAATATAAGTCGTCATCTGTCTTTATGCACTGTACAGATACACTTTGTATCTGTACATTTAAGTTATCTTATGACTCTTAGGATATTTAATTACAACATTCACTTCATTATTGTACTACCTAATCATATTCAGTGGAATCAGAATATTCAGCAGCACCTCATATATCAGTAAAAGAATTTAAGAGTGGAAGCAATTTTCATAGTTCTCTTTATTAACAATGTGTAGAGCAGTCATCTTCTGAGCCTCTAGAAGAGAAGAGATATTAACACTTAAAAAGCAGAAAACAAATCACATTTCACTGAGAAAAAAATGAATACAGGTAATGTATTAAAATTTCTGAAAATCACCAATATAATATACTGCATTTACTTCCCTATTTCTGAATCAAGGACCACAGAGGATCTTTTGAGTGGTACTTTCAGGGTTATATTCTACAAAGCAGATGGCAACTAGATGAAGGATTGGCTACAGCCAGCACAAAAGCTAAATTTTATTTAAAATAAAATTAGAATAGACAAGGTTGTAACTAAAAGTTTAATAATTTTATCTTATGCCTCAATAAAAATTTAATCAATTCTTCCCTCCCTTACAGCTCTATTTTTCACAAAGCATATATATACAACTTGAATATTCCACACACCTATGAGACTGAGATAGCTGTTTGATATTAAACTGTTCTTTAACTTCTTTTAAGCAGAAAGGCAACATTTATAACACATTAAGGAAAAAAACCCAATTCCTTTTCTGGTATTTATTTAAAATGTAGAATTCACAACATAACACTAATAAAAAATTGAAGGAATCAAAATTTGTTATGTTGGAAATGTAATTAACTGTATCATACCATTAATTCATCCTCCTAATCATCCTGTTAATCTGGTCCTCTCTGTTTCCTGCATCACCACCTTCTACAAAATGAGTTGTTTTCTTCTTCATTCCACCCCTCGGAGAAGATAGCTTGAATGGCCAGAGAAAGTTGTTTGCAGCTTTGAAGTTTTTGCCAACGGTATAGATTTCATGGATCAAGTCTTCCATGCAAATAATGCCATATTTTTCTGAAAATTAAAATGAACACCAGAAAATATTCAGCCTGCAAAATGCTTTCACTTGCTCATGAAAGGCATGTTAAACATACTGAGTCTGGTTATTTCTACCATGGTCAAAATATTTCAACTTTCCCATTGTGGCAGGTTCAGACATGAAACAGTTAAAAGGAAATCTGTCAATCAAATCTACACCATCAGTAAAGATGGTGTCCTGAGAACAAATGAAACTCTGAAGAACCAAGCAAAATAGGAACATTCCTGTCTCTGGTGGCCTTTAAAGAAGAAAGAATATTCTGTTTTGCTTTTGTTGTGCCTTCTCCCTAATGGTAAGAGCAAAATAGTTTTCTTCCAGACAGCAAGAAGCTAAGCAAGCAAAGCCCCAAAGCCCCAAAAGCTGTAACTGGGGAACCACAAAAAATAACAGTACAGGTACTCCTCAATTTATGACCACAATTGAGCCCGAAATTTCCCTTGCTGAGACAGTTGTTAAGTGAATTTTGCCCATTTTACGACTTTTCTTGCTACACTTGTTAAGTGCAGCTGTTCAGTTTAATAACAGTTGTTAAGTGAATCTGGCTTCCCCATTGACTTTGCTTGTCAGAAAGTCGCGAAAGGGGATCACATCATCCCAGGATACTGCAACCGTCCTAATATATGAGTCAGTTGCCAAGGTCTGAATTTTGATGATGTGACCATGGGGATGCTGCAACCACTGTAAGTGGAAAACAGTCATAAATCACCTTTTTCAGTGCCGCTATAATTTTGAATGTTCACTAAATGAACTGTATTAAGTCAAAGACTACCTGTAATCTAAAGATAGAATTAGATGTAGATAAGGATTGTGGATTTCCTTCATGGGGTAATCTAAGATGTTGGAAATTTGTTTGCCTCTGCTTTGTTATCTCAACTATTCCTTCTATTCACGATATGCCTGTATGGATTTCATTGGAGCTCAATCTGAGAAATTTCTTCTTCAAATGAACTGTCAAATTCTTTTTTTCTCCTACCATTTAAGTCTAGTTTTGAGACTTTAATATACATAGTAAAATGTTTAAATTGGCACACTTTTCTGGAAGGACTTAAACTGCAATTCTACTTTTGAATTTCCCTGAGAAGATGGGAGGTTGCAGAAGTGCTTTAACCAGAAATCTAGAGACCCAGTGTGGATGACAGGGAGCCCAGTTCACCACAGACCTGCCAGTGCATATGCAACTACGCATACCAATAACAAGCCCAGCATGAAAAATATCTTATCAATATTTCAATCAGACTATGCTATTTGAAGGATATAGCCTATGCTTGCTCTTATATAAAAGTAAAAGTCCTGTACACACTACAACAAAAAACAAGCCAGAGTCCCCAGGTGAAGCAACATTCTAGGCACTTGACCCTTTGACAAACCATCTGCTCAGTACTTTTCTGACTATTTATATAACAAAGTCCTTCCATTCAGAGAACTTTAAAGCAGTGAAACATTAAATGTCCCAAGTATAAATAGTATAAAAAGTATACTGTAAAGCACACTCACTTAAAATTTGCCAATTGTTTTCAAATAATAGAAATGTGCAAAATGTTTCAAAGTCTAACTAATACCAGCTTGAAAACATGGTTTCAAGTTCAAAATGGATTGCTTTGGCCATTTTGGAAGTATCATTTCAGAAGTGCTGATTTTGCACTCTGTTTTGAGCTCCAAGTAGCACTTTCTCAAGTTTGGAACAATTTTTAAATGTTTGGAATAGCTGTTCAAAACTCAGACCATTTCAAACTCATCTTACAAGTTCATCAAAAAGTTGTAAGATTCAAATTCAAAACATTTTGCATACAACTAATAATTTATTCTGATTTAACATACATACATACACACATAAAATATGACATCTGTGATTTTGCAGCTTTTAAATACAAATATACCCAAATTATTGTTTGGATTAAAAAAGGTATTTATAATTAAATATGTACTATTTTAAATCCTGCTGTATTAGAAAAGGCATATTACATATTTTAAACTTCTGGAATTGTTAACCTTTACTGTTATTCTACCTCTAATTTGCTAGATCTCAAAGTTCAATGGGACTAATATTTATCAGTAGATTTCCAAACATAATACTTCTAAGCATTATAAAAATTTTATTATTTAAAGGTTACAAGATGTTATATGAAACTAGATTTTAGCATTGTCAGAAAATATAATTCGTAGTATTAGAACTTTTCCAATGAAGTTAGATGTTTATAGGTTGAAACATTTTGACCTGATATAAATGCTGCAAAACAAGATGA